CATCGGTTTGGTCATGGAGGTGGCTCGTACCTCCATGATCCATGTCGGTGCACCCCATTTTCTGTGGCCGTTCGCTGTTCGCTACGCCCCTCACCAGCTTAACCTGTGGCCGCACCCCCAGCAGCCGCAGGTTTCGCCAACCCTTCTTTGGTCCGGGTCTCCTGGTGAAGCGTCTGCGTTCCACGTCTAGGGCTGCCTTGCTCACGTTCGTGCCTCTGGCACGGACAAGCTCACTGCCCGCACCCTCCCCTCTGTCTTCCTAGGTTTCCCCCTCAACTCGTCTTACTGGCACTTCTACCACCCGCTGTCTCGCAGTTTCTTTCACTCCCGCGACGTCACACTTGACGATTCTGTCTCCTTCTACCACCGCTTTCCCCACCGTGGTCCCCCGGTTCCCCCCCCCCCTCTTCCTGGTTCCCCCTTCCCCGGTCGCTCTTCCCCCTCCCCCTCCCCGTCCTGCTCCGTCTGGTGTGTCTCACGTCACCCCCCTCACGTCGGTTGTCCCGGTCGAGGAGTCTGCTGACTCTGGTGGCCCTGCGGCGCAGTCCTCGCCGCCTGCCCCTCCCCAGGTGTCTCCTCCTCCGCCGCCTCCGCAGCCGCCGTCGCCGCCGCTGTCACAGCCGCCGTCACGACCGCCGCAGCCATCGTTGCAGCCGCCGCCGCCGCAGCCGTCGCCGCAGCCGTCACAGCAGCAGTTCGTTGACACTGGAGGTGCTGGTGTTGGGGTGGGTACTAGTCCTGGGGTTCCTGTCGTGCCATTTCCCGGTGGGCCTGGGTGTGGTACCGGTGCTGGAGGGGTTTCTTGCTCTGGGGGTGTTCCTTCTGGGGGTGCTGGAGTGGAGTGTTCTGGAGGTAGCCGTGGAGGAGCTTGCGGTCCCGGTGTTGGTGCAGTGCCGCTGCAGCAGCAGCCACCGCCGGTGTCAGCCCTTCGCATGCTCGGCCTTTCGTCTCCTGACCCCGTGTCTGTGCCTCTCCTGCCGTCTCCTCCTCTTCCTGTCTACGGCCCTGTGTTCCCTCCCCCAGACTCGTCTCCGGCTCGTCTTCCCCCCCGTTCCCCCCATGTGTCCCCTCCTCTGTCTCCTGACCCGACGCCTCCCTCTCACGTCTGGTCTCGCCGTCCCTCCCGTGCTCGCCCCGTCTCCCTTGTCCCGCGCTCTCACCCTATGTTGCTTCATTCCCACGTGTCTCGTCCTCCCCTCCTACCATCGCCTCCTCCGTCCTCCCTTGTTGTTGCGCCTCCCACTCTGTCTTACTACCTTTGTGCTGCTCGTCCTCTTGTTCCTCGGGTCCTCGCCTCTCTCGTTATCGACGCGTCTATTCAGGTCTCGCGTCTTGACACTATTGTCGCTGAGGTCGCTGACTTCGCCTCTACCCGCCGCCTTGGCTACGCCACCGCTCCGGTCTCTGACCCTGCCTCTCCTCCGTCTGTCGGGGTGCTCCTGCCCTCGACAGTGATGTCCTAGAGGACCGCCAGTACGAGCTTGCTTTCCTGTCCTAGGCTACTCCCCATCTCTGCTCCATGCTGCTAGTCCCTGAGGGGGACATCCCGACCCCCCGCACTTACGCTGAGGCGACCTCGGGACCTTGGGCCTGCAGACCTGCAGCTCTTTCCGTCCTCTGCAGACCCCTCGCTCTTCGTTCGTTGTCTGCAGACCTTGGCCAGACTCTGTTCTACATCCTTGTTTACGTAGACGATCTGGTCTTTGCCACTGCAGACACTGCCACGCTGGCCTTCGTGAAGGCAGAGCTGCTGAGGAGACACACCTGCACTGCTAGGAGAGCTGCGCCGCTACCTCGGCCTGCACTTCTCCATGGATAGAGCAGCACGCACCATCACCCTCACCCAATCACACTTGGTGCGTCAGGTCCTTCAGGGGTTCAGTCTTCAGCTCTCCTCCGTACAGCCCACACCTCTTCCAGGAGATCACAGGCTCTCTACTCCAGTTCCTGAGGAGTCAGTAGAGCCCAGTGGTCCTTACGCAGAGCTGGTGGGTTGCCTCATGTACCTGATGACTTGCACTCGTCCAGATCTCTCATACCCTCTCAGCATCTTGGCCCGCTTTGTGGCCACAGGCAGACACCAACCACAGCACTGGTCTGCCGCTAAGAGGGTTTTGCGTTATCTCGCAAGTACATCGGGCATGGGGTGAGTGCTGGGAGGACGCAGGCCAGTGGTCCTTACTGGGCACACATACGCTTCTTGGGTAGACGACGCCGAGACCCTCAGGTGCTCGCAGGGCTACTGCTTTAGTCTTGGTTCAGGTGCCGTCTCGTGGAGAGCTACTCGCTCCTCGTCTGTTGCCCAGTCCAGGTGTGAGGCCGAGATCTACGCCGGTGCCATGGCGGCACAGGAGCTCCGCAGGCTGACCGTCTTGCTCACTGACTTAGGTGAGCGGCCTAGCTCTGCCCCAATCCTGTACGCAGACAACAGGGCCATGATCCTCCTGTGTCAGGAGCCTCGACTGGAGGGCAGAGCGAAGCACATCCAGCTGCGGTATTTCCTCCTGCGTGAGCTACAGCAGCGTCGCCAGGCCCGCGTAGTACACTTGGCCTCCGGTGCCAACACCGCTGATCTCTTTACGAAGGCGCTTGCGCCTAAAGATCATCAGCGGTTCTGTGTGCAGCTTGGTCTTGTTCCTGTTGCCCCTCACCTGCTAGGGCCTTGCTTGTGTACAGACATTTATATATATATTACCCAAGCTGGCCTTGTGGCCTCTCCCAGTGGCTGGACTTGTAGTGCCGCCCTGGTCTTGCTCGTCTTTGTCTGTACACCTTTTGACTGGTCTTTAGTGGACTCTTGCCTCAGAGGCTGGACTAGTAGTGCCAACTGTCAAATGTAACTTAGGTCGTTACTGTAGACTATACTGGATTGTGCCTTAGAGGGTACAACACCCTAGTCTACATACCCTTGTACTCACACATTCTACTTCACTTATTCATTCTGATACCAACTTGAGCTGCTTGTTCTCGTGCTAGGCACTGCCCCTTTGTGGTCTCGGAAGTGTGTCAAAAACATCTTAGTGTGTTAGCTTAGACAATACAGTTTGTGCCTTTATGGGTACAACACACTTGCATATATTTCGTTGTACTGTCTCATGTCAATCATTCGTTGTTTCTAAGACTTAGTATACGCACCAGACATATGCACGCACCTGACCAGGCATGTTCCAGTGGTAAGTGATTAGTGATAATCGAATGTTCCATGTATGCTTCATCATCATGCATGCTCCGCACATCATGCATGCTCCGCACACCATGCATGCAGGTGCCACTGGTGGGGAAATGTGAAAGAGACCTCAGACGAGAATGAGAAGGTGACTGGCATGAGGCAGTCCGGACATGAGGGTAACTGACATGAGGCAGTGCGGACATGAGGGTAACTGACATGAGGCAGTGCGGACGTGAGGGTAACTGACATGAGGCAGTGCGGACGTGAGGGTGACTGACATGAGGCAGTGCGGACGTGAGGGTAACTGACATGAGGCAGTGCGGACGTGAGGGTGACTGACATGAGGCAGTGCGGACGTGAGGGTGACTGACATGAGGCAGTGCGGACATGAGGGTAACTGACGTGAGGCAGTGCGGACGTGAGGGTAACTACCATGAGGCAGTGCGGACGTGAGGGTAACTGACATGAGGCAGTGCGGACATGAGGGTAACTGACATGAGGCAGTGCGGACGTGAGGGTAACTGACATGAGGCAGTGCGGACGTGAGGGTGACTGACATGAGGCAGTGCGGACGTGAGGGTAACTGACATGAGGCAGTGCGGACGTGAGGGTGACTGACATGAGGCAGTGCGGACGTGAGGGTAACTGACATGAGGCAGTGCGGACATGAGGGTAACTGACGTGAGGCAGTGCGGACGTGAGGGTAACTACCATGAGGCAGTGCGGACGTGAGGGTAACTGACATGAGGCAGTGCGGACATGAGGGTAACTGACGTGAGGCAGTGCGGACGTGAGGGTAACTGACATGAGGCAGTGCGGACGTGAGGGTAACTGACATGAGGCAGTGCGGACGTGAGGGTAACTGACATGAGGCAGTGCGAACATGAGGGTAACTGACGTGAGGCAGTGCGGACGTGAGGGTAACTGACATGAGGCAGTGCGGACGTGAGGGTAACTGACATGAGGCAGTGCGGACGTGAGGGTAACTGACATGAGGCAGTGCGGACGTGAGGGTAACTGACATGAGGCAGTGCGGACATGAGGGTAACTGACGTGAGGCAGTGCGGACATGAGGGTAACTGACATGAAGCAGTGCGGACATGAGGGTAACTGACATGAGGCAGTGCGGACGTGAGTGTAACTGACATGAGGCAGTGCGGACGTGAGGGTAACTGACATGAGGCAGTGCGGACATGAGGGTAACTGACGTGAGGCAGTGCGGACGTGAGGGTAACTGACATGAGGCAGTGCGGACGTGAGGGTAACTAACATGAGGCAGTGCGAACATGAGGGTAACTGACATGAGGCAGTGCGGACGTGAGGGTAACTGACATGAAGCAGTGCGGACATAAGGGTAACTGACATGAAGCAGTGCGGACATGAGGGTAACTGACATGAGGCAGTGCGGACGTGAGGGTGACTGACATGAGGCAGTGCGGACATGAGGGTAACTGACATGAGGCAGTGCAGACGTGAGGGTAACTGACATGAGGCAGTGCGGACGTGAGGGTAACTGACATGAGGCAGTACGGACATGAGGGTAACTGACATGAGGCAGTGCGGACATGAGGGTAACTGACATGAGGCAGTGCGGACGTGAGGGTAACTAACATGAGGCAGTGCGGACGTGAGGGTAACTAACATGAGGCAGTGCGGACATTGGGGGGAAAAGACATAAGTGGGGGGGCTAGGGGGAAATGGCATAAAGGCAGTGACGACCAGGTCACGAGGCAGGAGAAAGTGCAGACAGGGGGAGCAGAGAAGACGATGGACGGCGAGGGAAGAGGAGGGAACGAGGGAAGGGGAATGAGGAGGGAGGCAAGGAAAGGGAGGTCACGAAGCAAGTGGGCTCCCAACGACAATATCGAGGTGCAAGGTGAGGTGCGTTGAAGAGATGGGGGAGAGAGAGAGGGGGAGAGGAAGACAAAGAGAAGCGAGGATGAAGGCAAGAGGAAGAGTGGATGGGAGTGGGGTGAGAAACCCCTCCCATCCACACTCCCTCACGCCCCCACCACCCCATTCCCTTTCTCCTTCCTCCTCACTCTCTCCCCTGAACCCTTCAGCGCGCCAATCCCCTGTACCCGATATGGCCTTGGTAGTGTGCACTAAAGCGAGTTGCTTTAGTAGCTCAACAGCCGCTCATGGTTACAACCCTACAAGTAGGGTTACCAGCCTTGGCAGCCAATGAGAGACACAAATTGCGCCCAAAGTTCGTGCATTATACAGATAAGGCCAAACGCGGCCGGACAGAGACAGCAATGGTAACAACGGGCGGGAAGATTCGGTAGACGCGAGGAACTGCTTAGCCGCGGCGACTAAGAAAGAGGAGACTAAGAGGCGATTAAGCTGCTTAGTAGACGCGAAGAGGCTTGCCCATGGTGCTCTTGATGTACAGCGACTTGACCTGTTGGGTACGAAAAACGGAGGGGGAAAGCCAAACACAAGTGGAGGGATGGAGCGGAGGGGGAGAAAGGGGGGGAAAGAGGGGAGGAGGGGGCAAAGGGAGACACGGAGAGGGGAGAAACAGTGAGACAGCCGGGAGACGTAGTGGAAATTGCGAACCGTGAAGAACAGGAAAAGTGGCGGGTAGATATGGAGAGAGAGTGCAAGAACCGTACGTCCTGCCAGTTTTCCGAAAGATAATAGCTCGCACGTACGTTCTGCCAGTTCTTCTTGAGCAGCGAGACGAGGAAGTTGACGGAGAGCTGGATGTTCTGGAAGATCTGCTTCTCCTCCATGTCGCAGTTGCCCACCGCCACGCCCATGCACAGCACCTTCTTCAGCTGGAACTTGATGGTTGACTTGGTCTCCAGCAGCTGGTGCGAGCGAAAGGGTTAAGGGGAAAGGGGGAGGAACGTGAGCAAAGAGACGTAAGTTGCCTGCCGCGACGCCCATGCACAGCACCTACTTCAGCTGGAAGTTGATGGTCGACTTGGTCTCCAGCAGGTGATGGGCAAGAAAGGGGGAAGGGAAGGGCAACACAGGGGAAAAGGAAGGGGAAACGAAGATGCGGTGAGTCCATCGCCGCCACGCCCATGCACAGCACTTTCCTCAGACGAAACCTGATCGTCGCAAAATAGGTACCAGCATTATACCGCGTACAAAGCCCCCTCACCTTGCTCTCGAGGGGCTCGTGGTGCGTGACGAGCGTGGGGAACTTGCCGGCCTTGTTGAGGCCGGGGCCCAGCAGCCTGGGGATCTGCTTGATGATGGCCTCGGACGCCAGGAACGCGTGGTACTTCTTCGCCAGCTTCTTCACCAGCTTCTTGTTCTTGTTCATCTTCTTCAACGCCTCCACGCCCATGCAGTCCAGGGAGATCTTCTCAGCCTGCAACAGCCACCGTTGGGGGGGAAAGGCAACAAGGAAGATGAGAATAACCACAAGATCGCGTGGTGCTTCTTCACCAGCTTCTTGTTGTTGTTCATCTTCTTCAACGCCCCCACGCCCATGCAGTCCAGGGAGATCTTCTCAGCCCGTCAAGGGAAAGCGGAGAGGGAAACGAGGGGGTGTGCTTGGACAAGTGAACAGGGACGCCAGGAATGCGCAGTACATCTTCGCCAGCTTCTTCGCCAGCTTTTCTTCAGTACGTTTAAAAATAAAACACCTCCTCGACGTCATCTGTACATCTCCGAGCATGCACACGCGGTGCTTGCGGCCAAAATGAAATGGTATTTCGAAGAAACGTCTACAAGCAACTCACCTCCTCGACGTGCTGGGCATCTCCCAGCATGCACACGCGGTACTTGGGGCGCGGCACGTGCGGCAGCCTGACGGAGCCGCTGAAACGCTTGTCCTTCTGCGGGTCGTAGTTCTTGAGCCCGATCTGCAGCTCGATCGTCTCCGAAAACTTGCGGTTCTTCTCCTTCGAAGCCGCCAGCAAGTTCGAAATCGCCTCGCGCAGCACGTCGCTCTGCAGCTTACTGGATTCGCAGGGAAAACGGGTACAGTGGGACGACAATAAATTAGTATCGAGGTGCTTTGAATCGAGTACTTGCGGTTCTTCTCCTTCGAAGCCGCCAGAAGGTTCGAAATCGCCTTGCGCAACACGTCGCTCTGCAGCTTACTGAATTGGCAGGGGAAAAGGGTACAGTGCGACGACAAGAGAGGATTGTAATGAGGTGTCTTAAAGCGAGAACTTGCAGTTCTCCTTCGACGCCGCCGGATAGGTTCGAAATCGCCTCGCGCAGCACTTCGCTTTGCAGATTACTGGCGCGATACGGGTAGGAGGGGGTTAGCGAGGGTATAGTGGGAGTAGACGCTTGTATTGAGCTGCCTTAATTCGAGGGCTTGCGTTTTCTATCCCTCGCTCCGCACAGCACGTAGCTCTGCAGCCTAATGCCGTGACGTGAGCAAGGCCGTGGAACGTGGGAAACGTGGCAATGAGCGCAACGAGAGTTTATCCTGGATGGGAATCATAATCGAGAGGGTGAGCTGATTGTGCAGGTTACGGGTCTGATTGAAGCGCGGAACGAGGGATCAGAGATAAGTAGGCGGGCTAGGCATCTTAGTACTGTTAAGGAAAGATGCGACGACTACCACGCGGACAACCACGACGGGAGGAGGGACGCAACAATCACAGACGACGATCGGCCATGGATCATGCTAATTGTAACTGAACTGCACTAAAAGTCTATGGGTCCAAGACATTACTGACCTCATGGTGGCGAGCTAAGCCGAAGAGACAAGGCGGGGGACCTTCGATGGAACTCTCCTAAGGCAAGAAAGGACTCCACGAATGTCGTGGCTGGACTCAAGTAGGGGGGAGGTGGCGGATGGTATGGCAGTGATGCTGCTGGTGGAGGCGGGGGTGAGGCAAAGAAGTCGGAACCTAGGGTTCTGGTGGGGAGAGAGGGGGGAAATGAAGGTGAGAAATATCGGTTTGTATTTCGGAATTTCCAACTATGTGTCATTTCGGATTCTGCTTTTGAAGAAGATGGCCACGCTGCAAGTGATTTTGGGGCTTCGTTCTGAGACATTAATACACTAATACACGCTGTACATAAAAGTGGATAAGAGAGCACTTCTCCTTTTGTGATTTCGTCATCACTCAATTGATGCAACTGTAACGAAATAGTATTTCCTTATCACGAGTTTTTGTCAGTAAGGAGTACACTGCTATAACGGGGTTGTCGCGCAGCTCTGCCACGAAATTCAAATCGCGGTCGCAAATGTGGTCTCTTGACGACGCATACATTATTGACCGCCTTGATGTTGCATGCCTAGATCTGGGCGCTTCGCGCCAATTTACGAACCACACGTCGCAGCTCTACCGAGCCACGACCGTGTGTTCCTAGGCTAGCTATATCCATGCTCCCTTCTGTTTTTATGTTGTCTCTGTTGTATTGTTTCCCATGTTAATCAATCCTTCGACACGGGCTCTTTGCGCTTCATTACACCTGGCCATTAGAGCCAACAATCCTCAGCCTTGCGCTCTAGTTCCGCTGCAATACCGGCACTTAGGGAGGCTGACGTCATGTGCTTACAGCATATCCGTTGTCCTTGTAATATTCTCTGATAATTACATACAGCCGCTACTGTGTTCGCAGTGCCAGCGTGCCGAAAGCCGCCCAAAACTTCCACGAAATGGTGGATCCGTCGGCGTTTGCCGCCATGACTCCAGAAGAAAGGGCGGCAGCACTTGACATAGTCCGTCTTATTTACGAGTTGTACCAGTAGGAGTAGGCGCGTCTACGAGCTGAAACTGCCAAAGCTGAATCTGGCATATCTGCACTTCGGAGCCGACTGCCGTAGACACGACACGACACAATCGCACCAACGACAAATCAAGGACAATAGGAGCAAGTAACGCAACAGCGTTCTGAAATACCTAGCTGCAATCAGCGAACACATGCGGCTTCGCCCGAGGGTTTGACGAACAACCCGCCACTGGCTATTGGACGAGCGGGAATTGGCGAAAGGATGAACGTGAATTTGCCGCCCCCAATTACCTCTCCAAGCGGCCTCCAAACTGCCAACATCAGCATGGCGCCATGAATTATGAAGACGCAGAGGCCAACCACGTTCGACCCGAGCCAGCGTGACAGTTTGTCCGTCAGCGGGTGGATTTTTTACCTGACCACTTTTTACGACTGCAACCTCGTCGACGACGACGCGCAGAAAACCTGATCTGCCGTATCGCTCCTACGTGGACAGGCTATGGATTGGTAGCGGCTGATAATTGAGTCATAGGAGCCGGATACGACGTCGTGTGTGATCGGGCGATTTCACACGACCAATCACTGGGCGGGAAGTTATTGCCAGGTGGACGAGTACAACACGTGCCAATCAACTATTCACCCATTGATCCATACACTCATTCACCCTTTCACCCATTCACTCATGTACCCACTAACCCATTCACTCATTCACCCATTCACCCACTCACCCATTCATCCATTCACCCATACATCCACTGACCCATTCACCAATTTACCCTTTCACCAATTCACCCACTCACCCATTCACCCACTCAACCACTGACCCAGTCACCCATTCACCCATTCACTTATAAACCCACTCAATCATTCACCTACTCACCCATTCACCAATTCACCCATTCACCCATTCACCTATTCACCCATTCACCAATTTACCCACTCACCCATTGACCCATGCACCCAGTGACCCATTCACACGCTCACCCATTCACCCATTGACCTGTTCACCCGTTCACCCGCTCACCCATTCACACATTCACCCATTGACATGTTCACCCGTTCACCCATTCACCCTTTCACCCATTAACCCATTCACCCACTCACCCATTTACCCATTCACCCATTCTCCCATTCACCCATTCACCCACTCACATACTGACCCATTCACCCGTTCACCCATTAGCCCATTCACCCATTTACCCATTCACCCATTCCCCTACATTCACCCATTCACCCTCTGACCCACTCACTCATTCACCCATTCACCAACTCACTCATTCACCCATGCACCCACTGACCTATTCACCAATTCGCCCAATCTTCCATTCACCCATTCACCCATTCACTCTCTGACCCACTCACTCATTCACCCATTCACCAACTCACTCATTCACCCATGCACCCACTGACCCATTCACCAATTCACCCAATCTTCCATTCACCCATTCACCCATTCACCCAATCAGCCATTCGCCCACTCACCCATTCACGCATTCACCCATTCACCCATGCACTCAACCCATTCACCCATTCACATATATACTCACTCACCCATTCACCCATTCACCCGTTCATGCGTTCACCAGTTTACCCATTCACCCCCTCACCCAATAACCCATTCACCCACTCACTCGTTCATCCATTCACCCGCTGACCCACTCACCCATTGACTCATTCACCCACTCACCGATTCACGAATTAACCCATTCACCCATCCACCGACTGACCCATTCACCCATTCACCAACTGACCCACTCACCCATTCACCCATTCACTCGTTCACCCACTCAACCATTCACCCATTTACCCACTCACCCATTCACTCATTCGCCCATTCACCCACTCATCGATTCACCCATTCACCCACTCAACCATTCACCCCTTAACCAATTGACCCATTCACCCATTCACCCATTCACCCATTGACCCATTCACCCTCTCACCCATTCACCCTCTCACACATTCACCCATTCATCAATTGACCCACTCACCCACTCACCCATTCACCCACTCACCTATTCACCCATTCACCCTCTCACCCTCTCACCCATTCACCCATTCACACTTTCACCCATTCACCTGTTCACCCATTCACCCATTCACCCATTCACCCATTCACCCGTTCACCCAGTCACCCATTCACCCACATACCCACTTGCCCATTCACCCATTCACCCGCTCACCCATTCACACATTCACCCATTTACCCGTCACCCATTCACGTGTTCACCCATTCACCCCTAAACCCTTTAACCCATTCGCCCACTCACCCATTCACCCATTCACCCATTCACCCATTCACCCATTCACCCATTCCCCCAATCACCCATTCACCCAATCACCCAATCACCCATTCACTTGCAGAGTTTACTGCTATAACGGGAGCTTCTGCGGAAGTGCCTGACGCAGATAGAGCTCTCTAGCTCAGTCGTTCTCTAAGGAGAAAGTTGCCTTCAGAATTGTGTGTTTCACTTAGCAGCATTTGAGAAAGCTTGGGCACACAAATTCACTAGAATCAAGATTACAAAGTATGGTACACAAGGCAAACACTAGTAGTACTACCCCATTGAACCTCATTGAACACAGAGAGAACGTTCGCACGAGAACGCTTACATAACTACTCCAAGCTGCGCTTAGCCAAGTCAGCAATGGCAGGTGAAAATTACAGCACATGCTTTTACCCACTTAGAAGTAATTGTTTTAACACTTTCATATATGAAACTGTCAGATGTTACGCACATTTCTGCAGTTACGAAATGTGCGTTACGTGTTCAATTTCTCAATTCGCAGGTAGATTTTGCCGTTTTCGGTCCAGATCGGTTATGTGGTTAACTTACGAAATCACGAATTTCTCGCGATTTCGGAACGTTACCTTCATCAGAAAAACTAAGTCCCCGTATTTCTGTCGAAGGGGTCGCTCGCAGAAGCGAAGTCCGAGATGACTCTCTGCCGCACTTCTGTCGAATTTCGTTTCTGCCGAGGGGGTCGTCAACAGAAGAGATAGCCGAACTCCCGCAGAACGCAATTCTGCACGAACAGGTTCTTGCGCCACTCTGCCCGAAGTCCTGTTGGAACGCATTTCTGCAGAGTCGCTTCTGCCGAAAGGGTCGCCCGCAGAAATGTCTTCTGCGCGATACTTCTGCAGAGGACAACCCTTCTGCGAGTGGCCCCTGGTGCCAAATCGGCAGAGGGTCTTGTACACTCGCGTTTCTGCCAAGACTGCTTCTACAAAAGCACAGAAGTCTGTAGAAGCCATCTGCAGAAAAAGCGCCCCTGTTCTGCCACTCCGACAGAGCCGCTTTTCTGCCACCAACGAAAACCGCTCCTCCGCCACTTCCCGCAGAGCCTCGCCTTGTCGACAAATCTGCTTTTCGTCGATGGGACTTTCTGCAGGGCTCGTTTCCGCAGACTTCGTTGATATGCCACTTCCGCAGACTTTGCAACCTTCGCAGGATCAGGGCTATTCTCAACATCACTCATTCACCCATACACCCACTCACCCACTCACCCACTCACCCATTCACCCATCCACCCATCCACCCATTGGCCCATTCGCCCATATACCCACTCACACATTCACCCATTCACCCATTCACCCACTCACGCATTCAGCCATTCACCCACTCGACCACTGACCCATTCACCAATTCACCCATTAAACCATTCATCAATTCACCATTCACCCACTCACCCAATCACTCATTCACACATTCACCCATTTACACATTCATCCATTCACCAATTCACCAATTCACCGATTCACCAATTCACCAGTTCACCCATTCACCCACTCACCCATTCACCCATTCACCGATTCGCCAATTCACCCATTGACCCATTCACCAATTCACCCATTCACCCACTCACCCATTCACTCATTCACCGATTCCCCAATTTACCCATTCACCCATTCACCAATTCACCCATTCACCCATTCACCCACTCACCCATTCACTCATTCACCGATTCCCCAATTTACCCATTCACCCATTCACCTATTCACCCATTCACCCATTCACCCATTCACCCATTCACCAACTCACCCATTCACCCATTCACCCATTCACCCATTGACCCACTCACCCTTTCACCCACTCACCTATTCACCCATTCACCCTCTCA